CCTTTACCCAGTGGCGGACCTATATTTTTGGGGCCTTGAAGCGTGAATTGTTATGGGGGTCCTTTTGCTACCAGCAACAGCTAGCCTACATAGTACTTTAATAACTTTTTAATTTTCATTTTAGCTATTAATTTTTGTACCGAATTACACTATATTATTAATATTATTATTAAAAAGAAAACTTCCCATACAGTAGTCCCAAAATTTTTGAGCAATGTAGACTAAAGTGGCTTCTGGAGCCCCTCTGGGATTAGGGACCCTGAAGCTTTAAGCTCCATTAGTTTCTGTATTCAACTGATGGAGCCTATAGTGTAGGAGAAACTTTTCGGAAAAAAGACACTGAACTGCTGTACTTGTGTCGTACTTTTCTACTTATCGATATTGAATACAATTATTATACTGATAAACGTGTCTAAGGACACGTGAAGGTGGAGTAGCTCAAGGCCCTATGGTGGGTCACGGCAGCATACGTTAGGTTAGGTAAGATTCATCAGGAAACAGGACGTAGAACTGCTGTTCTGTTATTTTTACAGTTCCTTGATAATATGAAAAATCACGAAAGCGCTTGGAAGTTCACTCTTTTTCCAGAGTGGGTGTTTCGCATACATTGAAATATACACACTTCATGGTTTATAACAATGAGAGATGCTTCGTAGGTGAATGGTTCAGAGAACCGACATGTTGATAAATTAGACACATGTGCAACTCTAGGGTATCTTTATTGAGGAAACGTTTCGCCACACAGTGGCTTCATCAGTCCATACGTAGGAGAAACTTGAAGAACAGGAGGAGAATGAGGTAATCAGTCCCTCAACCTTGAGTCGATGTGTTCAGTCCATCAATCTTGAATAGAATACGGCATATGAGCGAAGAAGCAGCTTATAAACCGTATGGCAGGAGAGGTGCAGCAGTCATAGGTCGTGTCACATTTGTTCAATGTGGAAGTAGGTCGTGCACCTCTCCTGCCATACGGTTTATAAGCTGCTTCTCCGCTCATATGCCGTATTCTATTCAAGATTGATGGACTGAACACATCGACTCAAGGTTGAGGGACTGATTACCTCATTCTCCTCCTGTTCTTCAAGTTTCTCCTACATATGGACTGATGAAGCCACTGTGTGGCGAAACGTTTCCTCAATAAAGATACCCAAGAGTTGCACATGTGTCTAATTTATCAATGAGAGATGCACATCTCACGATCCACATACAATGAGAGATGCACATCTCACGATCCACATACAATGAGAGCTGCACATCACTCGGTGTAAATGACCTGCTGTCGGGACAGGAAATCGAATGTTAAAAATTGTGGCGTAACTGGTCATGAAGGGGCGTGACCAGGTGAAACAAGGGAGGGGAAGTGGATGAAGTCAGGGCGGGACTCGTCACAGCAGACCCATAATAACAGCACCAGGTGACACAAGCTGTCACAATGCTACACTCACTCCTTTCCGGTCAACGGTACAGACATCGGTAGAGTCAACGGTAAAGTCAACAACAGTAAACTGATAGCAGATGATTAGCAGCCCTTTCTTGGAAATGCCAGTTTTGCATCAGACAAAGTAACCTAATAATGGTCTCGGACGGACCAAAACATCGTCTTCTAATGTATATTCAAAATAGTATAAAATACCCACAAGCTGATGATTAAGACACATGAGCAACAGTAGGTATCTTTATTGTTGAAACGGTTCGCCTACACAGTCGGCTTCTTCAGTCAAATACAGAGGCAGGTGTAGTAGTGAAATTAAAATAATGTAAACAGTCCATCAACCTTCGAGAAATAGTATTTGAGGTGGTCAGTCCCTCAGCCTGGAGAAGAGTTCAGGTACATGGTCGGGAGCGATATGAAGCTGAAACCTGCGAATGGAGTCTTAAATACTGTCGAAGGTGAGGTGGAAGATCTCGAAGACTATGTAGAGGACGGGATTCACTAGTAGAAGTGAGAAGGCAGGTATCTCTGGAGTCCAACCCTTTGCACTCATAACTAATATTTACACGATGAAGTGGGGAAGATATTCTCTGTACTAAGATACCGTTCTGCTGCAGTGTCTGACAGCTGTGTTGGAAAGGCTATAAAATACCGACAATTTGATGATTATAAATTTTTCAGCATAACTGCCAGACACTGCAACACAACGGTACCTTGGTACACAGGACGTCTTCCACATTCTTGAAAGCCGTGTCATATAAAATTAACTTGGAAAGTACGTTTAATGTACTCCTTTCCAGTGTGAAAACTATTTCCTAGCTGGAAAAACGTATAGTACTCCTAAATGCCTTGGTTAGCTTTAAGCTGCAATTTAATTTCGTACAGTAATCATTTAATTCTGTATGTCATTTTAAAATATATTTACCATTATAGTGGCGTTAAATTAAATATTTATCTCAACAGGACGGGAGTGAGGTAAAACAAACAATATATAATATTTAAACATTCACGGGTCTGGCAGCGAATAACAAAGAAATGTAGAACGTGTTGATTCAGTAATAATGATAGACGAAGGGCCTTCACAACACGTGAGAGACAGTGAAGTCTTAAGTCTGATGAATCAGTCACATGTGTAGCACTTTGTTGCTCGTGTGCATTATTCATTACCTTATCGATATTTAAGTTAGACACGTGTGCAACAATTAGGTATAATATAATAATAATATCTTTACTTCTACAAGAACATATACAAGGTACATACACCTAACTGACATCAATGGCATACTACTATACAGAAAGCCGCTTGTTATGCAGAGCATTTCGGGCAAAATATCCCAGGATGCGACCCACACCAGTCGACTAACACCCAGGTAGGTAGATAGTAGATTCGCTGGTATAATCGCCCTGCCCGGGCCTTTTCCAAAAGGTGGCCCGGCTTTGGCTCCCTGTCGTAGGAGTGTCTCGGACCAATGTCTGCCATGGGAGGAGGTACAAGTACCTCCTCATCTTCTGGGACCAGCTGTCCCCAGTCCTAGCCTCATTCCCCGCCCCCACGGGGCTCGGAGGAAGACGCTAGGCACCTTGGGCTGCCACAAACCCCGCCCACACTGTGCTCAAAGGGTATGGTAGCTTCGTAGCAGCAGACGATGTCAGGAGGTGCAAAGCCAGCAAGCACTACAGAATCTTTTGGAGCCACACCCCAGGTTTGAGCCGAAGCCCGAGCACTGGGGAAGCTCAGGAATGCCTCTTGCTGTGTGTGTTGCTGCTGCTGCTACTTCACTTGTCCGTTGCACTCTTATGTAACACCCAGGTACCCATTTTACTAATGGGTGAATATAGACAACTGGTGTAAGGAAACACTCCTAAAGTTTCCACCCTTGCCGGGAATCTTTATTTCGAAACGTTTTGCCTACACAGTACGCTTCTTCAGTCATGTACATGAATGGTATACGGTACAGAGACAAGAAGAAAATTAGACACGTGTGCAACATCTAGGTATCTTTATAGTAGACGTTACGCCAACCAATGGCTTTATCAATACAAACTCAAGGACATAATTGGAAGAAACTAGAACTATGTATTTCTATATAGTGTCTAATTTTCTTCTTCAGTCATGTAATCAGTCCATCACCCAAGAGAAAGTAGTTTTGAGGTGGTCAGTTCCTCACAATGGAGATATGTTCAGCTCCATAGACTGGAATAATGTGAAGCTGAAGCATAAGAATGAAGACTTATATACTGCTGAAGGTGACATACAGAAAATCTTGGCCCAAGTCGGACCGAAACGTCTTCATAAACTTCTCTCTCCTATGTGCGATTTATTTGTATCATGACATACTATATAGAAAGCTCCTGGTTATGCAGAGCTTTTCACGAAAATCAGGCTAATTTTGTCTCAGTGATGTGACCCACAGTATTCGGCTAACACCCAGGTACCTATTTACTGTTAGGTGATTATTATTATAATTATGGGAAAGCGCTAAACCCGTAAGATTACACAGCGCATGTTGGGGGGGATGGAAGGTATTCAGGCTCAATTCAGGGAACCGGAGCACAGATCCAATTCCCTAGATCAAGAGCCCTTCACGAGCGTCAAGGAACCTCCCTTGAAGGGACTACTAGGTGAACAGGGACAGTAGGTGTCTCAAAACACGCCTGATGTTTCCAAGATAAGCAGGTCCCCTCAAATGCAACCTTATTCACTCTTGATTAGTGGTTAGGCAATAAAGTCGTCGATGTCCACCGTACTAAAATACTGCCAGAAACGACCCGACTCTTGTTGACATCGAGATTTTATGCATCTTTTGTATGTGCAGACAGTGCAGTAATAAGTTACTTGGACTATTTAAGTTATCCTAGGTAATATACACATAGGTTACTATGTAAGGCAATGAACTCATCTAAAACTTGTATAATACTACCTAATTTATTTACTTACTTATAGTATTGTATTGAAATAATGAGAATCGCTCACCAAAAAGCTGCTCTTAGGAGAGGACCGATAAGTAAGTAAGTTTCGGACCGTCCTGGATCATTCACAATGTCTCAGGAAGAACAGAAACGTATCATCAAAGTTTCTTTCCTAGATGAACGTTTTGATGAGTTGTTTCAGCCACGGAATTGTGCTTTTATTTACGCTTTAATAAGTTTCGTCGTAGTTTCTCTTAACATTTCTCATAGAAAACGAATAAAAATCTTAGAAAATGGTCATGGATAAACTATTGAATTTTATTATTATTACAATTACGGATCTAAAAGCATTGAATTTACATTGGGCCATCTGTTGTAGGAAACAAAATAGTTGAAATATTGTCGTATAAATATTAAGAAAAAATAATTCCTCCGAGGAAAAAAAATAATTAGTGGTGATCGATTGAGAAAAAGTTTATATCCGCATTACGTCTTATAACAATAATGCATGTTCTTATAAAAGAACAAAATTATAGATAGTCATACTTAACGTATATTTATGATATATTATAAAGTGGTTATATAGTTTGCTTAACTTTGGGGAAATAAGAATAATCTTTAGAGATTTATATATTTTATGTAAACCGGTTGTAAAGGTTGTTGTTTATTATTGACGTTGGAGGCGGAAGTGTTGTGTTGAGGAGCGAAACATCGTCACTGGTCACCATGGGAGCCTCAGCCATTCCTGTAATTTTAATGACCCTCTTTTGGGCTCTCGTGGGCATAGTCCTGCCCATCATTCTTCCTAAAGGACCAAACAGAAGGTGAGACATTGTTGGAGCGTAGCTACAACGGTAAGGTGCTCTTGATCCAAGGAACTGGTACCTGCCCCCCATAATAATTATTATTTCTAGAAGCACATGATACACTGAACTATCAAATAATTCATGTTGAGCGTTAAACCCATGTGGGTCATTTGGCACAAGACGTGGTGGAGGCTCGATCCTCCGTCTGACGAGAGCGAGACGTCTTCCTTTCACCAGGCGAGGTGTGATCCCTATGGGTTTAGTGCTTCCCATTTGTTAAAATATGTCAGAATTATAATTTTTTGTGCGTTGTGCTCATTATGTTATGTGATTTATTGTTTTACAATGCAGCATATACTTAAAGTATGTTTGTATGAGCATAAATGTATGAGACGTATATTTTTGTGTATGTGAATGTATATGTAAAATTTATTCAGTATTAGAAATGTGGACACTGGCTGTGTATATGCAAGAATCAATATTCTGTTGAGCTCAACTCAGGAACACACTGAACTTAAATTCGTGTATTAAACTGTTTTGTGTAAAATATAACTTTAATCTTCACACTTTTAATGTTTTTCACGGTGTTCTACAATCTTTATTATATGAAAATTATTAATGTTTCTTTTTCATTGCAGTTTGATGCAGTGTATCCTGATTATTACTGCGGTATCATGCTGGTTATTGTAAGTTTAAAACTATCTCCACTTATTTGGTTATCAGTTCATCTACTGTTTTTTCTTACCATTTACTAGGGTGCTGTGATGCTAGTGAAGAGCTCTTGATCCAAGGAATTGGAGCTGCATTACCATTCCTTAAATCAAACCTGGCTGCATCCTCTTGTGTGTATGTATATATATATATATATATATATATAATATATATATATATATAATATATTATATATATATATATATATATATATATATATATATATATATATGCAAAACAACCACTCTGAAAGAATAGAGAAATTCCAAGCGCTTTCGTGACTACTCACATTATCAAGGAACTATCATAGTTCCTTGATAATGTGAGTAGTCACGAAAGCGCTTGGAATTTCTCTATTGTTTCAGAGTGGTTTGTTTTGCATATTTTGAAATCACCTGTTTACTGTGATCTTATTGCATATATATATATATATATATATATATATATATATATAATATATATATATATATATATATATATATATATATATATATATATATATATGTATATGTTATTACATAATATGGCACAGAAGATTTAAGAGATACATTGTTAATGTAAAGGTGGCATATACGGTACATGTTGTTACGTGTGTATCACCGATTATAAGGCGAAAATCTCATCCAGCTCCTCAGAGCTGGGGCGTGTGCCCAAAATGCAGCATGCATTACCCCTTTGAACAGCCGCACTGAGCCGCTGGAACAGAAAACTAGCTGCCCTGGATCCCTAGTTACCCTGATGAGTCTTTTTCCCAGCTCCTTAAGGAAATTAGATGCACTCTTTCCCCATGAGCCAAGGGTCTCTGAGCCTATGGGAACAAACATATAATGATGGGCAAGTTCTCCATATTTTCTAGACTTTTGGGACTCCCTAAAGCTGGCAGCTGCCCCTCCTTCCTCCCTGGTGTATTGGAGATAGGTATCAGCCAAGGTAGATGCACATGTATAGTCCCACACCACCTGCTTCCCATCTGTCCAGGCTTGAAGGGTGATACCATCTGGACGCTTCTGGCTGCCATCAGATCTGCATAGTTGGGGTGGCTCCCTTACTGCTGGGCATCCAGCTGTTGTGAGGCTCCTCTTGATAATGTTATTAACCTCGTCATGTCTTGCAATCTTTCCCTCGGATTTACGTCACACAAGACCATGGTACCCGATTCGGTCTGCTGTTCACTGCCACAAATACACCTGTGTTCGGCGAGAAAATAGGGGCGGCAAGTCGAAGGGCAACACCGATGCGGATGGTCTGTGGGTCGAGGCTTTGTGCCAAGGCTGGAGTTGGGAACAGCCAACAGAAAGTCCCCAGCATGAGGGGCCTCACTGCCAGCAGGCGGGCTCTACCCTTTCCCCTGACACTCTGAAGCATCGTTGAGGCTATATTTTCCCACTATTGGACCACCCCAGTGCGATTGTTTGTAGTTCTTGGGGGGAGCAGGTCTGGATTCTGAGCCCGTTAGATTATCCCAGATCATTGCTCCGTCAATGAATTTTTTGTCCTGGACTCCAATCTTGTCCTAAGATGTTCAGGGAGAATCGCTGCTACATATACATATATATTTATATAATTTTATTATATATATATATATATATATATATATATATATATATATATATATATATGTATATATATAATTATATATAT